AACATAAGCTAGCCTTCAAAAGACATGATATCCACTCCTTAATATCACTCGCTGCATGAAGACAACCACGGACATTAATTCGACTGCGGCAACGTTCAAATATTAGACAGAGGAAACAACAAGAATGTTGGAGAATTTTTAGACACTTGGCATTCCAGTAAATCATCAATCAATCGACACATAGAAATAGACAAAATTTATCAACTGATAAGAAAGAAACCTCACACACACAGAGAGAGGTCAAAGTTCAAGTCAAGGAAACAACCAGTTTCAATACAAGTAACCTAGATGGTGTGAAAACACACAAATCAACCAATCACGTCCAAGGTCACCGACCAGGAGAGATGATAAATGAAATCGTGGAGAAATCCAAAAGCTCACTTCAAATTGAAGTTTGCGTTGAAGATGTTGCCTAGTATATGGGGCGATGAAAGTTTCGCAAATTAACTATCCAGCTCAGAGAACACAACCACCTCAAAATCATCCACCTGAGTTACAAATCTTCTCTATCATATCTAATTAATGCCTACACCATCTTTCAATTTCAATGACGAGATGAATTTACTATGGAACATGAAAATGATGGAAAGTCACATTTCCTTGACTCTGCCATGCAACGCGTAGAAGATGGTAGTCTCCAGAGGTCAGTTTACTGAAAAGTGACGTGGAATGAACAATACTTACACTTCAATAATTTTTGTTCAAATAGCTTGAATAGAGTACTAGTCAAGACTCTGTACTATAGAGCTAGGAGAATATGCTCTACAGCGAAATTAGAGGGAGAATTTATATTTATCGAAAAGATGTTGAAAAACAATGGTTATTCTCAAAGATTCATTGTCATATGTGGAAGATGTGAAGGCTCAGACATCAAACAAATCACAGTTGACAAAAGCCTGTCTTTATTCAACTCGATTTTAAAGGTGAAAATATTGCATCAGTAGTCAACAGAAAACTGAGCACGCCTCTAGCCAGAGCCTATCCTGCATCTAGCAGAGTTGGTTACCGTCTATCAAACAACTTGCTCCTTGGTGCTGTCAAAAGTCAACTGATATCCTTTTCATGTTAAGTCCAACTCTGTATACAAATTTAAATGTATCTTCAGGAGCAGTTACACTGAGAGAACAGAAAGAAGGGTACACCTCCGATTTTCTGATCATGTGTAGAAAAGTCTACGTCTCAAGGGAAGAAACGTTTACAATAGTGCCATTAGCAGGCATCTACTTGATATTGGTCATGAAGTGGAGATTATCAGTAGACAGAGAAGCTCAATTCTCCTCAAGTTTTCCGAAGAAATTTCTGTCAAACGCTTGAAACCAGATTTAAGTGTTCAGAAAGAAGCAGTTAATAATCTTTCCTTGTCATGTTAACTGGATGTCTGTATTCTCTCTTTCATCTGATGACGTAATCTTTGTCTTTAACCTCACCCTCCGTTTATAATCTGTAATTTTCGTTGTCTCTTGTTTCTATGTTTTGAGTTGAACTCAGTATATTCTTACCTAATTTATCAGTCATTCATCATCTTATGCATCTCTCGTCTTTATCACGTAACTCATTTACCATTGTATTCATACATTTATTTTGTTTAAACTTGAACTGTCTGTGTAGAAATTATACAAGCGTAATTTTCTGGGCACTTTTCACTAAGTCCAGAACCTCCAGTCAACTGATATCATGTAAAATTTGCGATTATGTTGAAGCTGTTATTTACCTAAACTTAATAATAATTTCTTCAAGCCCTAGGCAAATGATGAGAAGCCAAAGAAACAGATGGTGTTACCATATTATTCTGCACAAACCACTGTTGTTCTTGCTTTATTCAAGTTCATTAAGGGGAATAAATCCACGAAATGATTTCAGTTAGAGAACTAATAAATACTAGGGAATTTGTGTTCGGAACTCTTTAGCATTACACACCTATGATCTCACCTCCAGGAGTAGAACCCTGGAGCTTCAGGTTACAAAGTGGTCCCATTGAACATTCAACCACTAGGATGTATTCCATTGCGTGGCCCACCAAATCTAAATTCTGCTAAATCATTACAATGTAATATTTAAAAAGGATACCATTGGATTTTGATTTATACCATTTCAATGCTTAAAGACAATGGTATTGCAGTACGTTGAAAGCAGTATTTAGAAAGTAGTATGCACATATTTGAGAGTTGAAAATGCTTACATGTTTTTCTTAGATCTTACGTCACATGACTGAAACGAACTACTGAGTGTAATCTATAAAACTGTGTACTACTAACTGATTGAGATGAGTGGTCGTATTCGACTTATATCAACCAATGGTGCTTACTACAGCAACCGAAGTGATCTAAACATCGAATGGGTACAGAAAACCAGAGGTGTACCCGGTTTGGCTCAATTCAAGGACCCAAATAATTTCAGTCTACTCATATCAACCAGTATTGTTACTTAGTAGTCTAATATATCTAAGATTCGAAATAAACATTCACTTTTGAAGTAAGGTAATTTAGGATGAGTGTCCTTCAGTGAGTGCTATGTCCGTTTATTTACAGGCGACTGATGCATAAACCTCCACGTAAGCCAAGTTTATGTCGATATGACACAGTGATATGGTGTTGATAAATTGATGATGTTTCGTGAAAAAATTATCCCTCATTTCCATGTGTTTTTCCATTATTATTTATTATTAATATCATCAACCTTGTATTCTGAGGAATCTTTTGTGTTCGTCCAACCTTCGGCATCGCTAGAATGCAGATGTTGATGAAGGTTTGCAGTAACCTGTTGGAAATGCTCTTGTTGACACGCTCGCAAGTCTGTGAAACTTACAAACTCCCTAACTTGACAACAGTGTCAAAAATTCAGCTCTTATTTCTTCTACTGAAATGCAAACCAGAGCTTTGTCAATTCCATCTTGACATTGAAAACATGATCCAGGCCACCTCCTTAAGTTGAGGCAAAGCTGCAAAGTAGAAAAGGTGAATTCCTATAGATTTTTATGCTAGTGGAGACTGTTGCTGTCTTTGGTTAGGTGTCTACACCTCTGACTTCTCTACGTTAAAGTGAAGTCCCGTGTTTGCTACACTTTCTGCTGACCTGTCAAGCATTGCTTGTAAATCTTTCAGTTTGTCTAAAGCTTCATAAATTTATCCATACGACGTTTTACACAGGCGTTTATAGTTTCCATTCCTCCTCTGGTTTAGTGGAATTGTTCATATACTGGAATCTGGTATTAAGTCACCTCTGTTGCGTATGTTCCGAGTGACTTGATGAACGACTATTCAGTGACTAATAGTTCTCTCCACTTAATACCATTACTTTATCTCATCGATTGTGCTACTCCATGCAAATAGATGCGTTGCAGTTGCCGAGCATTTTCCTGAACTCATCAACTTAGCTGGGATAATCATTATAGATCTAGTCAAATTCCTACGCTTTGATAATTTATCTGATCTCATTTTACTTTTTTTTTATCTACATAATTGACATCAGAATTACCACATGATGTTGAATAAGTTGTTTTGCATTTCCTGAATGGGTCCTTGGGAATAATAATCCATAGGTTATATTATCAAGTGGGAGTCAGTTAAATTATAAGTACATAACATCAGCTAGATCTAGAATAATTAATTCCTGTTAAGTTGATTAATTCCGAGACATTCTTGACCATTACAACGCATCCATTATCAGCTATTCACAATATATGATGAGACAGAATAAAATTATAAAAAACCCAATGTGATGAGGTGGAGGCACCAACACACCACACACGTAATCAAGAAAAAAGTAAAGCCAGTTTGAGGTATGTGGAAAATTTCGTTGGAACACAAGTGAGTGTAAAATTATTAAAACTAATTTACGAGGTCATATAGATACAGTGATATGATCAACAGCAATAAATCCTTCCAGAAACGTTATTCATTCAATAATACTGAATCACTGTTTTGCTATGTCGTATAAGCTTATCTTATCTGCCTACTATCACCAGTGATGTTCCTGACTGTGGTGAACTGAATAATGAGTTAGATTTTGAGGAGGGAGTAGACAGGAATATGTTGGGATGACAAGAATATTGTAGAAGATTTGGACTTTGAGGTTGATTTATATCTAATGTCATATACAGTCAAAAATCAACAGACGAAAAATAATTAATTGGCAGAACAGACTGGTAGGGAAGACAGGACTTCAAATGAACCTAGAGAAGACAGATGTGGTGAGGATAACTAGCCAACAACAACAACAACAGTGGAAGGAATCTGGAGCAGGTCGCCTCTGTCACTTACCAAAGCATTATTGGTTCAACAACAGGATGCACGGATAAGGATGTCAAGAGTAGGACCTTTATTAATCTGAACTCAGTATAGGAATCCCCTACACTTACTATAAGAGACACTATTGGGATTTTCAACATTGTTGTCAAGTCAGTCAGTGCTTTTTTATTGTTCAGAGGCTGACATTTAGCATCATGAAAACTGTTCCGAACAGTGACTACAGACTTTCATCAACAGCTGCCACAGATAGATAGTGAAGATCAGGTGGCCAGTTGCAAAAAGATGAGCAACCAGGAACTCTGGAAACGATTCATCCAAGAACCTATTGCCAAACACATATTCATAAAAAAGTGGAGGTGGATTGGATAGACGTTGAGGAGGTCATTGAGTAACATTACGCGCCAAATCATTGACATATTGGGCATGGGTCCGAGTGTGAAATAGAGGAGATGGGATTTTAAGGAAATGACAGCTTATCGGCAGTTGTAGAGCTGGTTATAAACTATTATGTAGAGCAGATTGAAAAGGAGGTGTACCACTGAAGTCATATGTTCTATTCGGAACTCAAATAAATGACAGTAACCACAGTAACAATCTAGGATTACATTTTGCCACAGTGCACAAATCATACACTAGTATAATTGTCTGTATGTGCGTGCTTTTAAAAATTGACTTCATTGCAACTGTCAAAATAACAGGTGTGTACTCTTGAGGAAAATATTTTGTAAATTATACAATGAAATAATTTCTTACCCATTTGTGAATATTTTTGACTAGCAACAGGTTTTTGAGTCGCTTGCAACGAATAGGTGATTAATGGTTGTGTTGTATTTCTGACATTCTCAGAAGAATTTATCACCGAACTGTTTCCAAAAAATTTGTTCGAACGGTCAAAAATCATGTCAACTATTGCATATCACGCTTCTTTGGTTTCTCTGTTAACTGAATTACTTTTTCCACCGTTCTAGGTGTTTAGTATGAAAGTAGCGCGTTAATCTCAAACCATCATTATTTCAACAAATGGAACCGATTCATCACTCTTCTTATAGAATATATATATATATATATCTTTTTCCGTAATACAAATTACTTGTGTAGACAGTGTTTCTCTCCAAGATATGTTTGTCTACATCCACAGATTTGAAATGAAATACTTCCTCGAGTGAGAATGCAAAACCCTAGAACATGTAGGAAAAAAATATAATTTTAACGGGGTTAGAACAGCATTTCATTTTCATGACTGATTATTATAAAGAATTATCCACATTTTATTTTTGCGTAAATCGTTTTCAGCCTTAATCAGACTATTTAAATACTCTCATACTTCGCCAATTATAATATATATGTAACGCTTTATTCATAGAAGGAAAGGAAATTGGTGACAGCAAATATTTATTTATTTATGCCTAAAGTACACTGTTCTAACTACCCAGTTTGTTTATGTGTAAGCATATGCTTTGCTGAGAGATACAGTATTTAAGACACATGATGGAAAATAATTACGATCATCAATGAAGGCCAAGATTCGATGCCACGGCTGACGTACTCCGAAACTACCTTGTTCACTAGCCTGTAGTTAACTTGGGAAAAAAGAAGGAAGGTTCATCGTAAGTCTAGCAACTCTACTCCATAAAAGCAACATCATTGCTACTTGAACATCAATGCTTGAGATACTATGCTTCACTGGGAATGCAAAGGGATGCGAAAAAAAGAGAGTTTGCACAATCAACACAAAACCATAAAGGCCGAAACACTAACAGAATACTAGACAAAACTAAGATCTAGAGTATTTAAGTGTTGGTCGGTAGGGACTTGATTGGTTACAGGATTTCATCATGAGCTGACATTAGTTAGAGAACCATTGGAAAACCTGTGAGTCCTGGACAGCTGTTTCGTCCTAGTTTGGGACTCTTCAACAGCAAGCACCCACCAGGATTCGTACCCAGGACCTTCCCTGGGTTCCTGAGCTCGCCTTGTAACCGGAGGGTCCTGGGTTCGAATCCCGGTGGATCCGTTCTGCTGAAGGGTCCCAAACTAGGACGAAACAGCTGTCCAGTACTCCCAGGTTTTCCAATGGTTCTCTAACTAATGTCAGCTCATGATGAAATCCTGTAACCAACCAACCAAATCCCTACAAACCAATACCTGAAAAGTTTATAATACCCTAAAAATGTGTGCAGTCACATTTAACGCCATTGTGTCTGTGAAGAAGTTTGTTTTGAGATTCCTATTAGTTCGTCTAGTATTAACTGCTGCGTTCACGGAGTTACAATAAAAAATTTCCCTCTTCCCTCCCCCCCGCCTATCACAGTACGGACATTATGACTTTAGAAAAGTACTGTTATTTTTAGCTGTGTTTTAACTGCTTAATCATGATAATTGTATACTAATTAAATGCCCAGACATCGTCGAAGCATCTGCACAAGAAGCCGACATGTCAACCTGAGACCGAGCACTTCGGTTCAAACAATTGACGGGAAAATCAAAAATTCAATTCAATAATTAATATGACCCGTTGCACAAGAGGTGGCTCTCGTGGCCCAAGTGGTCTAGTGGATAACGCTTTGGCGTTTGAAACTATGGGTACTGGGTTCGAGCCTCGGTGGGAACGTCATCACTCACTGAGAAATGCAGGTACATCCAGATGACGAGTCCCAAATAGGTCGAAATGCGCATCCTGGATTCCACTGCTAGCCACCATCCACCAATTGTATACTAATTAAATGCCCAGACATCGTCGAAGCATCTGCACAAGAAGCCGACATGTCAACCTGAGACCGAGCACTTCGGTCCAAACAATCGACGGGAAAATCAAAAATTCAATTCATTAATCATGATAAATTAACTTTTATACACACACACACACACCTAGAATTAACAAGTCGAAAAACATACTGAGTACTGTACTTCAATACGGTGAAGTCATTATTTTACTAGCTATTTTGAGTTTGGAACTGAAAATGTCTGAATATAAGTGGGAGACAAATTTGAGGACTTGTTAAAAAACCTGTGAACTCTTTCCTTAAGAGAGAGACTTGGCGATACTTCCTGTCTTATTTCCTGTTATTATTATTATTTTTCCTTTGGGTTCCCACTGGAACATAAGGCTACAACAGCACATCTCCACTTTATCCTGTTTTCTGCTTTCCTATATAACTGGACTCACGATTTTCCATAATCTCTCTTCGGACAAGTTAAACTTTAAGCACCACTAACTACCAAGCTCACTGAGCAAGTTAGTGGAATCCGGCAAATAATAATGTCATCATCAATAATATATACTCACCGAAGTATTATGTTATTAAATAGGATATCTGGCAAGTTTCAGCTTAGGTTTGAGAAAGACTAAGTTACTCTTTAAGCCAAGGACAAGTTAGGGTTAGGTTAATCTTACAAAAGTGACAGTAGGTTTGGTTCGAGTTAGATTACAGTTAGTTAAGAGATATTTTTACGTTACGATTATGTTCAGGAAAGATCAGGGTTGTTGTTAGGGTTAGAAGATCTAAATGATTACATGCAAAGAATGTGGTTTAATTGCTCTATTGATATAAAGATAGAACTTGTGCACTGTGATATAGTTTAATTCCATTGTGGGTAAAATTTATTCTGATAAAGTCACACAATGTTATACAGTAATATTTACTGATGACGTTTCGAGCACAATCTATTGCTCAGTAAATATTACTGAATAACACCATGAAGCTTTATCAAAATAAATTTCACCCACAATGGAATTATACTCTGTTGATACACCAACCTAAAACTGAGAACTATTTTTATTCCATGTGAGAAGAAGCTGTCCTCTGTAACACCTTTCTACAGTTTTTATGCAATTTTTTCATAAATATATGTATACAATACAGCAAAATGCCTCCTTCATGTGATTTGTGCATTCGAGGCCATTTGCTGATTGGTAGTTAGTGGTGCTTAAAGTTTAATTTTGCCCGCTCCTCTCCTCCTTCGCACCAAATCCCCTCCATGACGTCGTTTCCCGTTCGAGTTCCACTCGAGGTCCGGGTGCACGATGTTATTTCACAGTTCTCTGAGTGTGTTCCCAGTTCACCTTCTTTTTTTCCCACATATTTGTTAGGTTCTTGGTTAGATTGTTTCAAGAGTTTATTGATGCGAACTCATAGAGGCTATTTGATCTTCAGCATGGAGTGAAGACAGCTGTTAATAAAAATATCCACTAGCCTGTTGGAAACGCCTTTCTCGATACTTTCCTTCTTCAGCTTCCTAAATATTTGGACAGTAATCACAGGCATGCTGTAACAGAAATTCTCAGAGGCCGGAGAAGGGAAAGAGTAGCTTATCTACCAGTATATATCTATCATTTGATGTGAATATATGCAATCAGATTTAAAATCTTTATGTAAACAGTATACACAGTAATCCTTTAATAAATCGTGAAACATAAAATGTATTTATCCTATTTTGAAATAGAAATCACTTCAGGCAATATTAAATCTATAATTATCATTTCTCTTATTCCCTTCTTGATACCAACATCTCCTTTATTCTATCCAATATAATAAACACCATCGAGATATCTGTATATATGTATGTATATATTCCAGGGAAATCACTTAAGTTCATAACAATAAATTCATTTTTCTTTTGCATTCAGATATCGAAAGTGTTGAGATGATCAATTAGTTGCTTATAACAGAAACGGAAAAACTGAATCAGACTGCCTCTTTTTTCTTTTCTTTCTTCTATCACACTTCTTTTGTTCTCCACTTTTATCTCACCTATTTACTTATATAATGACAATGATTTTTAGTATGATAATGATGGTGATGATGAGAATGGGAACGATTATTATCTAATTGTGTGCCATAAAATAAAAAAAAACACACAATCGATTCTTTTTATGACATTGATTATGGATGAGAAAAGATTAGGATATTTCTGTAGAAATTATCTTCTCACTAAAATGGTTATGATATTATTTTTATCCCCTGTGAGTTTCAAGTGAAATACAAGGCTTCAGCAGTGGATCAGCATTTCATCCTGTTCTGTGAAGTGAATTTTACCTGGCTTTAAAACACTCAAATAGAGTCGTTCGATTCCACCTGAGGGTTTGGCGTGTGATATGACTCTGAGGTCTTCTCATTGAGTGTTCAACCCATTTCCATTTGTTTGGAATATTTGTGGGTAGATTACAGTACATGGAGGATTTCATTATGAGCTGACATCATGTAATCAAACAAAAAATCCCAACAAAAACCAATGCTTGAAAATTCCTCTGATGCTCACTAGCAACCGTCCCTATTCAGGCAGTTAACCTGGGGTTCTAGTGGGAAGCCATGACCAGTAGTGTAAAGCAGGTTGAAGATGAGTCAGTAACTCATCGAAGAAGACATTGTGAAATGGTCGCGCTATGTCGTAAATTGGCAGAAGTTAGAATTAAAGGACCATTGAATCAGGTCCCAGTAACTCAATGGTCTACGAGCTCGCCTTGTAATCAGAAGGTCCTGGGTTCGAACCCTGGTGGTGGGTGCGTGCTGCCGAAGAATCTTGAAGTAGGACGGAGGAAACAGCTGCCCAGTAATCTTTGCAGGTTTTCCAGTGGTTTTCTAACTGATGTCAGCTCATGATGAAATCCTCCATGCAATCTTGACTGATTTGTCTCCATAGTTCCTTTGAACCAATCCATTTCAACCGGCCATCTTATCGTCACTATCGATCGGAGACAGCTGTCGATGAAAGTCCACACCCTTGAGTTCCGCATATTTTGGAAATGCTTCTGGTGACGCTCTTAACTATAAAGAAGCACTGAATGAACTGACATTAATTTTGAAGTTCAGCATACATTCTCATAGGCTGAGTTTACCAGATTTCTACAGTGATTTCGGATTACTGATGATGTTTCTTGCTTTTCCGATCTTGGTTAGCTTAGATATACTAATCTTTGACGCCTGTAGATAAAAACCAGCTGCTTAGGTAAGTGAAAGAAATGACGTATTTCTCTCTACACTATGTTTACTTGATATAATCAAATATTCTCTATTGCGTGTTCAGTATGTGCGTCAGTGGCACAGCAGTAGAATGCTCGCCAACTTCACGTGCAGTTCGGGACTCGATCCTCGGACAATGTATTCCTTTACCTCACTAAGAAAGTAATAAGACTGGTACAGAGGGAATGTTTGGCATGAGGCTAGAAATACCATCCCGT